ATAAAGACGATTTTTAAATGTTCATAGTGTTGCTCGTCAGAGCCCGACACAATCAATATGTCATCAATATAGCATGAGACAAACTCGCAATCTTCAAAAATTAAGTTTACACAGCGTGTCATGCCAGCAGTGTTGCCAGGTCATATTTCGTTTTTTTCAGTAGACTACCAGTCTAAATATCAGTAGACAGATAAGTTGCCTAGTTAAAGGGGTAAACCATTAGGGTATACCTACTCAATTAATTGTTTTAGTTACATTTTTTCAAATCATTAAATCTTTAGACTGTGCGCTAGATTATGAAAACTTGCATTGGAAAATCAAACACCAATACTACTTAGTGAAAATAGTTTATCAAGAGACGTGAAATATTCCTATTTAATATGCACTACCAAAGAATACACTACCTATGTAGTATGTAGTTAGTAGTCTAGTCTCTGATAAAAAAAAAGGTGAAACAGGCTGCAGTTAGTTGTGCAGCATAACGCTATGTGGTGACCAATTGACTAACCAACAACAACGCATGCCTTTAGGCAACTGGCAAGACAAAAGTCAAGTAAACGAGACACAACACAAGCACGCACGAACCCCGGGGATTACCCATTTCCCAGTAGGCTGAGTGCTGCGCCTGCACTGTGCACTGCGAGCGTTCGAACTGATCTGAGTAATCGGGCGTCATTTAGAGTATGTACACTCCTAAGGAGTTCTAGCCCACAGGTCAAGCATGAAATTATTACTGTGACATTCTCATAGATGATTATAATTTTAAAAAATATCATAAAAAGCGGTTAAATAATGACAGCTGCTTTTATCAGTAGAATTCACATTGATATCAGTATATCAGTAGACCAATAGCCAAATCAGTAGATCTACTGATAAATCAGTAGACCTCGCAACACTGCATGCCAGCTACTGCTGTCTTCAGTCCAAACGCCATGAGTATAAATTCATACACCTGATTGTCGAACATAAACCCGCAGTATTTGGTTGACTCTGGAGAAAGTTTAATTTGCCAAAAGCTACTTGTTAAATCCAAGGTGCTAAAAACACAGCTTCTACTGTAGTGGTAGGTACAGCAAATGTTCTGCCGGTTGCGGGCATTCATAATCCATGTCGATCTTTTTATTTAGGCCCAGGCACTAAATAAAAAGATCCACAGTGTATATGGGTACCTATATATTCTCTGGTTAAGTACATCTTCAAAGACTTTTTTACTTAGAGTGGTTGTTCCATCATCATTTCATTCATTAAAATTGGGTTTTTCCGACTGACGATGGCGGGCTTATAAATTTAACAGTAACAAGGTTAGGTACGTCATTGGACGCAAAATTTTATGCTCTTCAACTTTGAATACTATGACATTTTCCGTACGATGCGTCGTTTGCTAGATATGACCAGAAAACCGGAAAAAGTTCAAAAATGTCGAGGTTTTTCGCGATTTTTTGCCTGAGCCGGTTCTGCTACGAGGCAGCAAACTTCAGATTCGTATTCAGCACCCCAAAAAACATATAATTCTGTTGAAAAACCTTCTACTGCATTCATGTTACCAAAAAATCACCATTTGAGTGGACTATACTGGCTGTTTCTGTTACCTATTTGTTTTCCTCTGGTGTTTTTTGTTTATTCAAACCTGGTTGAGGTGATTTTCTTTTTTCAGCTGATGGTGGATTTTTTTGTTCAGTTAACTCATCAGTTTTATTTGCTGGTTCAGGTTTGATTCGGATATTCGATAATGATGTTTATTTCCGGATATTTTCTATTTTCTCTTTTCTTCCAGTTTCTTATTAGGATTTTTCCAAACAAGAAGCGGAAAAATGCTAGATTTTTCATGCCAAAGATATTGGTCTTCATTTCTTTCACATTGTGCAAACATGTGTGTTGGTGTCGATTTCCCTATTTCTGTAGGGCAAATTTCCTTAGGTTGGCATGAAAGTGCATCTACGTTGACATTATGTGATTCTTTTTTTATATTGAATGGTTAATTCATATTCCTGAAGTTTTAATCTCCATCTTATCTTACCAGTTTCAAGCCAAGCAAATATTATTTTTATCTAATTTTATTATTAATTAGCTCTCTAAGAATTGGAAGCGGTGATAGTTGCCGGAATATTTTTCTTTCAAAAATTATTTTGCTATTATATAATATGACACACACACATATACGTGGATGATTAAAAAACTTTTTGGGAAAAGAGCCGGGTTTGAACCTCGGGCCAATAGAACGCGAGTTATTTAGAAAGTTTGATACGCTTTGATTAGGCCCTATTTGTAGATAACTGAACCCGTTCTCCTCAAATACACACGTTGATAATAACTAAGTAGGACATTTATAGAAAAGAACTGACTGAATCAACTCTCCCTCGCTTGCCTCTTGGATCAGTGACCTTATCACACCTGAATCCTTATTTTCGAAACAGGGGAGCAGCGTTCTCATGAGAACGAAGATTCTGTTTCAGTCGCCCATATTTATATTTCCATAATACTGACAAAGAGAGATCAATCGTTCTCTTGAGAACACTGTTTTGAGAATAGACACCTTGGTATTTGATGACGGCGCTGTGTGTGTGGGTACAAAAATATTAAAAATAAGCACGATGGACTTCAAATTTTCTTCTAGAGATTTACATCGGAAAATGGCCGGAACTGCACTCAAAGATTGCTTATATCTACTGAGACGTTTTCAGTTATTGTGACTCTTTTTTCTTCTTCTTATTTAGTTATTTGTCATCACTTTCGGTTTCCCGCACGTTCATCTAAGGTCCATTTCTTCTGACGCTCTTATTGCCAACCTTTAAAACTGTTGGAAATGAGTTGGTGGGATTATTTTCACGAACATATGTGGTATATTTGAGATTGAGATAATTATAACGAGATGGGATGGTAGTTTCTGGAAGAACTATGAGGCTATCAGTTAATTTCGCTGGTATTTTCGCATTCTTTAACTATAGGTCCGTTTCAAATCATCAAAAACCGTCTCTTGAACTATTTCGAAACAACTCTCTATACAAATTACGGAAACATTTGTTCAGTGCTAATAGGATAATTTTATTTCTTTCCATTTTTTCAGCGTTCCAGCTGTCACTTGCTTCTCCTGGTGATTTGTTGTTTTTCAAATCGTTAGATTTTTCGATCTCAATTTCTTCGCAAACTCGTAGGTACCTATATTTTCGGAACTGACATTTTCTATTTTTCGCCACTCATTGACTTGCGTCTTCTGCCCACCTTGGGATCTTGTTCCAAGCTGCTTTGGTCATGATATAAGCTTTCCACAGCTTGTTTTGTCCATTTATTTTGTTCCATCTTCATTTTTTATGTGCGCGGTTTTGTTGGTAGATACAGAGTCTTGGCTTTGGGCCTTTATTCACATTTCTCCATCCTTTGACTGTTTCTATCATTGCTGCGTTGTTCTTCTTTGAACGTTGTTTGTTATTATTAGATTTATTTCTTTGTCTTCCATTGGATTTCGTTACCCATAGCTTCAGAAATCTCTTCTTTGCCTTATGAATTTCCTTGTTTCAGCACTCAACAGATTATGCTCAGAAAGTTGGTCATGGACACCTGAGCTATGAATGATGCAACATCTCGAGGTTTCAAGCAAACGAATAAATACGAGGGAGAATCGCGATGAACATAACATCGACAACTATGGGATATTAAACGCGGATTGGACTGGTTGGTAGAAAGATTCAGAGGTGAAAAGCATAGTGTTAATGGAACAGTTGCTAAGAAAGATCAGTTGTAATAGAATTGATTAGTATAGCAGTATAAAGTTATAGTATTTTTAATACCCATTTAGAAGCACCAGTCGTTCTAGTGACAAAACATGTGTCGCTTCTTGACACACAAATAAAATTAGGTTAGGAATTTCCTATTTGTACATGAAATTGACGTATTAGCAATCGACGTTCGTTTTTGTTGGTAATTTTTTGTTTCATCTGATTCGTGATTGATAAAAAAGGATGGGATTATTCTAAATGGGTATTACAAATACTATATATTAAAGTATAAGTGTGTATAGAAAAGATCGTGAAACAATATTACCTACCCGAGAGTAGTTAGGACAGACAATTTATAAATAAATAGTGAATAACCAAGACATTGTTGACACTTTATAATAAATAACATGAGACATTTTCAAGTGCATTTGACAATTAGACATAGGAGATCTTGGATTGGAGACTAATGTTTTGGTTGATGATCATCGTCCGTCACTTTGATATCGAAAAAATACAGAGTGGCAAAAGAGTCGCGCATAATACCTGTAACTTTTTAATTACCTCGTATACGAAAAAGTGACCTTAATGAAAGTTGTTCAGTAAATTATTTCTAATATTTCTACCTAGACGAATTGTTTCTGTCACTTCTGGTTTGTTTGCTATCCAGACCAACTTTGTTTTTTCAAATGAAACACCCTGTATGTGATTGCAGATTTCATGTGATATACCCTAAACCTAAGTTCAACTATTTTGGAAATATTGACAGTTGAAAATTGACTTTTTTGGCATTTTGACAGGCTGTAAAACCTAAACTGTTAATTTTAGAGGAAAACCTAGGAAGAGCCTAGCGTTTGGAATAGACAAAAATTTAAAGTAACGGACGGAGGACGAAGATGTCTCTGTGCTGTCTGAGTTATGATGGCTCACTGCGCACAAATCAGCAATTACATTTACTGGAAAGCTCAAGAAGAATAAGAAACCACGAATTCAAAAAACATACCCATAGGAGTTTATTATCGTTACTGGAGTTTTAGAGTTTGTGTGCAATCAGTTGTCCCTATTTCTCATCCAGATAAACCCAGATATACCTACTCGATGAGAGATTATGCAGGGTTCCAAAAGGAGGTATCATTCTGTTAGATTCGTGATTTAAAAGAAATTTTCCTGAACATATTGATTGGGGGAAACGGCCGGCCAAGTAGAAAGGAAGGTTTTCGGACCTCACCACCAATCGCTTTTTCCAATATTTGTAGTAAAACTTGGTAACCATATTTGACGTTAGAGATTGGAGAACCACCAAAAAGCACCTCCTAAACAATACATATCACACTAAAATATATGTGATGAAAGTGAGAGAAATGGAACTTTTCAGACTCGACTGTTGCTGATAACCAGATAATCTATTATAGTCAGGTCTTGCTTGACTCGAGAGACAACCGTTTCAAAACGAGATTCAATAGCTAGCCACAACTTCCCAACTTCCTATTGAGACTATATGAAAAGCATAGGTACTTCCAACAAAAAAATAAATAATTTCCACTCCATCCGGAGGTACGCAACCGTAAAAACGCACTTTCACGGTACCGTTTCCACAGGTAATGCTAAGGTAGGTACTTCTCCGCGGTATCGGTTCGCTGCTGGGTCGAATTACAACAGGTACACAAGGTAACGACTGATAATTTTTCGTAGTCACGTTATCAGAAACGCGAATACTCGATACAAACTTTGCCTCGCGCCGCCACTCAGTTTACAAACGAAAACAATACCTTATAGCACCTTTCCGTTTCATTTTTCATTCATTCATTTATCATCTAACGATTTGATTAGATTCGAACCCGCGGAGTAATTAGTTTTGGCGCCAAAGGATTTTTGGTTGTTCTTCGAACCATGAATTCGGGAATTTCCTTGGAAAATGAAAAAAGTTTGTGTTGTGTTTATGCAGTGATGTGATTTTTAATTGAAATTGAATTTTGGCGAAAATGAGAGAGATTTGGACAAAACAAGATGAACGTAGGATTAGCGACGGGCAACCTGTAAGTGAAATTTTTTTTGTTTAATTTAATGCATTTTTGCAAAAGTTGTATTGTAGCGGTTCAGGGTAATTTTTCTAAACACGTTCTCCTTGTCCAGTATGCATTAAATTGGAATCGGCAAAAAAAAATTAAGACTTTACGGTACTTGTATGCAAATTTGTCCAGTACTAGTGTATTTACCTGTTGTAAACAATGCGAAACGCCTGATTAGTAGAAAATAAAAGTAGGTTTACCAAGGCCTATTAAACTAGTTTGAATTGGAGACAGCAATTAGATAGTGTAGGGAGTTCTTGTCATTTTCCGAGGTTTGGGCCTTATTGCTGCGAGAACATTTTCTTCTGAGGTGCTATTAAGAACCGTCTGAAGAAGATATTTCATGGCTAGGATCAAAAATGTGATACAGATACTTGAAAAATCGCTTGCTCACAAAATAAAACCTATAATCTTGATGAATCTTTTGAATGGTACCTCTAAGTACTTATATAAATATAAAAAGTATTTTGTATAATTTATTCAACGATCATTATATCTAATTAGACATACCTAATAATGATTGGTTTAGTATTAGGTACCTACTTAAAATTAGTGCATTCAGAAATAACAACAAATTAGCAAAATTGATGGAAACTTTTTGTACCTTAGTAGAAAAATAAGTAGTATAATGTAGGATTGTGTGGTAGCTTAGACAAAAAAAGTGAAGAGAATTAAATAGGAATTAGCCGAAATGAGATAACTACAAAAACATGAAAATATGTAGTTGACATGATTTCTGCACTTTTTGGCCTCGAAAAAATTCGTTTATAATTTTTGTCTCTGAGGAGCAGGCCTTACTACAGACCTTCAAATGATCTGTCTTTTATCTCTCATTATAATTTGCTGGTCTCAATTTTTCTAATTCGAAGAAATTTTTCAGCAGCTAAAGTAAGAATAAAACCACCAATTATTGATTTCCGATTACAGATTTAGTTAATGGGGCAAATAATCTTTAAACAATAAGATCAGGTCTGTGTTTACGCTAGCTCCCTAATCTGGCGCCCATTTAAATACTGAAATATACCTCGTCGTGCCATAATGAGACGCAAGTTCGTGTTAGGTAATTTCTCCTGAATCAATTTGCACTTTCTTAGCGCACGTAATAACGACGACAAATTAGCAAATGCAATTAAGTAGCAAAACGCGACAGGAAATGTTTGGGAGTATGAAAAAAGCATTAAATTAAATTGATTGCCTAGCAATCGACTGTATTTGACGGCGTGGCCTTTGGCAAGGACTTTTCAGCATTTTAATTCTGAATTTTCAATCGCAGTTTGTTTATAAACTTGAACAATAATATAAGTATTTCGTAAATTGGCAAATATTGTAAAGCAGGAGTCTCCTAGAAGTGAAGTTACTGCTCCTTAGACTCAGAACAAGTGGTGTCAAAATTTTAAATTCAAGTTGAGAAAATAGCTGTTAAAATGCTGAATTAAATACATCCAACATTCAAATATATGCACTCTGAAACAATCGTCTCCTAAATCCAAATTTAACCTATTTGATTTTAACATTCAATGAATCCCAGGCCAACTTTATACTTTATCAATTTTGTTATCACTCCTAATTAAAGTTGGAGAATCTAGGCCAACATAGGCAGCACAAAGTAATTTAATACTCCTTGAAATTCCGGGCTTCGAAAATCCATACTATCTTACAAGGTGTTTCTATAGATGACTTTAATTGCTATTTCAAGTATGTAATAAGATTCTTGAAACACTTACCTATAAGATGATTAAAAGATTACCTGATTACCATCATGGTGTCAAGGTATAGAACAAATAAAATCCTTTTGTAAGAAATAAATATGACTCATATTATAGTTAAATTCCTGCACTCTAGAATTTGGAAATGTACGTAAATATTTATTATTATTTGATAGCATATCTTGCAAATTGCATCAAAAATTTTATGACTCATAAAACTTCAAAAACACCTCGTCATAGAGGCACAAAATCATAGATTTTTAAGTCTCCTATAATAAATGACTCAACCCGAAAAATGTTTTAAAATGCTGTTAAGACTAATTTGGTCTAAAAACAATGACTTTTAGAGAAAAAATACCAGAAAGAAATTCTAGAAAGCCTTGATTCAAGTTTTTGTAACGTTTTAATAATTAATAACTTTCAAACGACAAGTTAAAATAATTTACATTATCTACGTTTCTCGTTTGCCATATTCATTATGACAGGAAATTCAACACGATAATAGCCCGTAATCTACCTATCTAATATTGCAGAGAGAGGATGCTGGGAGAACAAATAATCTTTCACATTTAACGTCAAATTAATTGCGTTATGTGCTGCTAGCTTTCATTCATTGATTATTGTTTTTTTTTTTTTAATTACCTACTGCCACAGTAACAGTATCTCTCTTCCTATCGATTAAGTGCATTTATATAAATTTGGACTTTCTCTACATAAAATTGCAGCTGTAGAAAACGCATTGCAAACTTACTTCATCTTCATTTTGTATTTTGCACTGATATTGCTGAACAACTGCGTTAATTGTTGTTCGTATATTGTCCAACATCGTCTTCAACTTTCTTACTGTACTACATCATCTATAACCTGCAATTTCTTGCTTCAAGTCCCTAAGTGACGGAGCTTTGAATGATTATTTTAAGTCGTCCAATGTCCCCTTGCCTTTTTTCTCTAGTTTTCCTGTTCATTTTTCTGTCGTTTGACCTTTTCTCCTTCCCTTACACTTGGCCTAGAAATTTTTGAATTTCTCTCTTCTGCTCTTCAATATTTGCTTTTTGTCTTGTCATTTTTGTCGTAATATAATAGGCATATCGAGAAAGTTCTAGAACTTTTTTTCCTGAATTTTGATTTGTTGAAGAACATTACTCGAAAGTAAGGCTAATTGGACCACATGAAAGTACAAAATGAACATTCTGCTACGAGGTATTCCAAATGCAATTGATATTTTGGAAGGAAAGTTGGTACCTACTCCCAGTTTTGCGTAAGAGAATGCGTCAGCACTTTGCGCATGAGGGAAGCCTAGTGAGTTTCAATATATCAGATTGTATAATGCACTTCTTGCTCTTAGGTACATATGACAGAAGATACCTTACAAAAAGTTATAAGGTTATCTTCAGCAAGAGAAATGTGGGTTGAATTGAATAGATCAAAGAGCCTATTGTCGTATACATGGCCATGTTGAAGACAAACCCATGATATTTGCTGAGAGTTCTTCAACTATAGGAAGAAAGTTCAAGATGATACGTCTAAGCTCAAAAACCTCTGGAATGAGCTGCAAAAAGGGTTATCAAAAGAGAAAATCATTACAAAGGAAAACATGTAATTGTGAGTTACCCGAGTTGCTGTTAGTCTGTAAGATTTTAGAAACTCCACCCCAAGACTACTTCTCTTTCATGTTGAGCTGGATGCAATGTCAAAATCTGACAGGACTAAAGACAATTTAACTAATGCTTTGTTCTCATGAAAAGGCATTATCAAACAAGAATAATGAAAGTCATCAGGAGGCGTTACTTGCAGAAAAGAGAACCAACTCGACCAATAAGTAAAAACTAGTTTGAAATTATTGCAAAAGAGAAGGTTATAATGTCAAACAATGTACTGAATGGAATGAAGATGGTAGACCTCTAAAACCGGAAAGCTCAAATTCAAGAAATACCAGAACACAGAAAAATAAGGATGTTGGTTGCCTTAACAAGTACTATTTTATTCAGCGAATGTGAGGAAAGTAGCTGGTTTGTGGATAATGGTGCTACAAGTCATATCACAAATCGAGGTGATATCATTGAAATATTTGGATATTTTCAAGATACACACACAATAACAACATCGAATGGCGAAACGTTTAGAGCAGTTGGAAAAGGAAATATTTTGGTACAAACAAGACAAGACAAAAAGATGTTTTAACGTTATCAGGCGTATGCAAAGTTCCTTTGATGATTAAAAATAATTTATTTTCTGTTTAACATGCGCAATATCTACAGCCTAGATCAAACTTTACTTCAAGCAGTGAAAAATGCAGTTTTATAATTGGTGGAAAAACCATACTGACAGGTGAAAGAAGTTGATTTGGAGGACTGTACAAGCTAGCATTGCAGATCATAAAGCAGGAGGTAACAGCTCAAATCAACATAGTTTCAAATGAAAACTTATTGCAACCAGACCATGGACGCATGAGACAAATTTTAAGTCGTGAGTTTGACCTCAAAATGATCTTAGACAGCAAAATATGTGAGGGTTGTATTTATAGTAAAACACACAGAGAGAGAGCAAAAGGTACCAAGAGAACTGTTACACACAGACGTTTGCAAGAAAAATCCAAATGTAGCTATAGATACTTCGTGCTCTTCAAGGATGATTTCAGTCGCACGTTATCGCTATGTCTACTTTGTGGAAGAAAAATCTGAACTTGCGGAAAAACTGACAATACCTCTGTTAATGGATTGGTCGACTGGAAATTACGGCTCTAGAACGGTTCTCATGTGTGTCGGAATAGAGCACATTACGTTGACTGAAGTGAAAACAGTAAAAGAGCTACCGTGAGATAATGTTGGGAAATTTGACAATGGTCGAGTAGGAAACATTCTACAAGAAAGTTGAATCAAACAGAGACTCCTTATGCCTTATACCCCAGAGCAAAACGGCTGTGCAAAACCAGATAACCTTATCGTTGAAACTGATCCATCATGCATGCTCATGAAGATTTTATACAACTTTTTTGGGCTGAAATAATAAATACATCGGCGTACATTTTGATTAGGACCCGTTATTATTCTAGTATCAAAGCAAAATCTTCATTTGAGCTGTGGCATGAGAAAAAGCCTTCTTTAAAACACATGAGGATTACTTATTGGAACATCCTGTTATGCCCATGGTACCAAAGTCAGAGGAAGAAAAAAAATGGATAGAAACGCAGTGGAAGGCATAGTTATTGGATATAACCAAGATGATGGATACCGGATTTGACAAATATATTTGAAGGGACAC